CTAATAATATACCGAATTGATATATGTTATTTATAAATTATATTTTTATTTTTGACAAGAAATATATTACACCTCTCTTTATTCTTATAATAATAAGACAACCAAAACCAAGAATTTAGTTATATATCTATAGAATGTATTATCTGTTATTTCACAATTTAACTTCTTTTACGCTACATATTCATTTTTCTGCAACCAATATTTTTTAACTCTCTTTATTCTAACATAATAAAATATTCAGAAATAAAATTGTACCATAATTATTYTGATATATTTTAACACTTTATATCGAATTCAAACTTATATATTCATTTTTCTACAACCAATGTATTCTAACTCTCTTTATTCTAACAAAATAAAACATTCAGAAATAAAATTGTAACACAATTATTGTGATACCTTTTAACATTTTGTATCAAATTTAAACTTATCGATGCTTTCTTTCATCAATCAACAACGATCGTACGAAGCACGGTAAAGTTACCTAGTTATTGCAATAATTGAGTAATATTATATTAGAAAGTAATTAAATGGGGATGACTTATAATCAAAATTAATGTGAGTGATTAAGTTAGGTCATATGACCTTGATTGGTGTTAATAATGATAGCAAACCCACTTCAATTTATTACTATTAAAACCATCTTTTAATTGAAAAACTTTAAATTAATTTGTATTTTCTTGGTTGACTTCCCCGATTTACGTTTTCATTGGAGCTTTATAACGCAAAGTAATATTACAAAAATCCTTGGATTCTTTAGTAATTTCTTATTTAAAACACAATATTTATATTATACTATAAAACATTTCATAAAAATTCTTAAAAACCATTTTTTATACATAAAATATTATTTACTGATGTATATTACTTAAAATTCAATAAGTAGAATATGCACGAGTACATCTTATTTTGCTACATTGTGCGAGTACCCTTATAGTGTTATTTAAAATAAAATACAGCAAGGTCAGTAATGTTATCGTTTAAAGAACGATAGATCAATAATAATATTGATGGTACCGATAAGCTTATGCAATCCCAATAACGTTTTCCTTTGTTAACAATATATATATATATATATATATATAGATGTGAATCAAATTCAATGGTCGGAACGTTTTTCATGGATCAATAGGATAAAAGAAAACGTGTTGAAAATAAACATATTTAAAAAGGCTATAACTTTTGATATAGAAAGAACTAGGGACTTAGGAGTCATGAGATCTGCTATAATGGTTTGGTTCTACCACAAATAACTCATATATACGTGGATTATGTCTATCGATGGTGGTCGACAATGGCACAATAAAAATTAATATTACTCTATGTGTTGTATCGGGGTTAGACAATTGCGGAATAGAAATTTGGTTGGGCCACAAAGCACGAGGTACAACTTCATAGTGGAGAGCAAGAGAGGACGGTAAGAGTGATAGGGTTTGGTAATCTCTACAAAATCAGTGATTAAGAGGAGACGGAGATCAACGACAGTGACAGAAGAGACAGAACTAAGTGAGTTGGTCTTAAAATTTATTCATTTTATCAAAGCAAAAGGATGTTTTATGAATTAGAGCAGGTGAATGCATAAACGA